TACTACACCAGATCGGGCGTCAGTCAGGGTAGTAATTTAGGACCCTTATTATTTATTATCATGGTAAATGATTTACCAACGGTGGTCAGATCAAGGTGTCTTCTATTTGCTGATGACCTTAAGTTGTCAGCAGTAGTTAAAGACACAGCTGATCGTGACATGCTGCAGCACGACTTGGACAAAGTCACTGAATGGAGTCACTGCAATAAACTATATTTCAATATTTCAAAGTGCTCGGTGCTTTCATTTGCCCGCACACTAAACCAACAACACCATCAGTACAGCATGAACGGGGAGCTGCTGCAGCGTGTCACGGAGGTAAAGGATTTAGGTATCCATTTCTCCAGCGACTTAAGGTTTCGTAAACATGTGGTATATGTTTGTAAGAAGGCGTACAGGAATCTGGGATTTGTGCTGCGTCAGGCAAATGATTTCACGAATATCAGCGCATTAAGGGCTTTGTACGAGGCTCTTGTGAGGAGTCATCTGGAATACAGTGCGACCATCTGGAGTCCGAGCGAAATAAAATATAAAACAATGCTCGAGCGGATACAAAATAAATACATCAGATTTATGTATTTAAAAATATATGGGATATATCCGGGATACCCGTTACTGTATCCCACCTTATTCTGTCTCGGTATGGTGGGGTACTACAAATTGGAAGTCAGGCGTGAAGTGGCATCGGCAACTTATCTTCTGAAGGTTTTAAGAGGTAACATACAAAACTCTGGTATACTTTCAGAGATAGGTTTTTGTATGCCGGACGACTATGTGGCGCGGCGGCGCCGGCCGCGGCTGCTGGTGGTGCCGCGGGCGCGCACCAACCTGCTGGAGCGCGCGCCGCTCACTCGTGCTTTGCGCACTCTTAACACGGTGGCTGATGTCGTAGACATATTTAACTGTACACTGAGCGAGTTCACAAGGACCACTTATTCTATAGTGTGTAAGGAAATATAGTTTGCAGTTAAAATTTTAATAAGTTTATAGTTAAATATAGTTCATAGTTAATAGTTTAGGAAACATATTTTAAGTTACTATGTCGAATTAGGTTAAGTTATCTGTAATGGCAAAGTAATTGTATTAAAATAAATAAAATAAATATTTGCAAACACTATGGTGGAACTGTAGCGACACTGTAGGAAGAATATAATCGGAAGAGTATAATAGAAACCTCTATATAAATTCGATTTTACATATATAGGTATAGGTACGTATACCTAACAGTCATGCAGTAGACTCCAGGGGTTTTTATTAAAGAGCTTAACTATTGACATTGGAGCGAACCGTATTGTCATTTAGTTTCGACCTCCTGTCAGAACTATGCTTCTAGCCAGACCCATCAGACAGATATTCAGGTTTTTGTTTTATGGCAACTGTCAAGCATATAATTAAGTTAGTTTCATTTTCTAAATAGTTAACAGTTTTGCTAGCAATTTTCTCCGCAGTAGGTACCTTCTCACAGTGCCGGTGCTCCGGCTCGAAGTGCAGGAGTAGGAACGGGGTGGTTTTTAGTCAGTAAGAGTCTGACAATCCCTTTCGTCTCACCCGGGCGGGAGAAGTCATTGGATGATTTCCCCCCCTCAAAAAAAAACTACTCACAGCACAGTTTTCAGGTGACAACAATAACGTGGAACTTACTCGTGCATGGTACACAAACTAATATATTTTTAACTTCTTTAAAATAATAAGCAATAAGATACTTTATCGTTAGTAAAAATTTTGCTAACATAATGTTAATTTATTTAGTGCGTAGATGAAGGATTACATACACGCTAAGACTAAGACGCTAACACCATTCATGGACATTAAATAATAAATAATTTCTGTTTTTCGTTATTTATCATTCTATTATTTATTGTTAGGTTTTTATCAGCAACGGAAGTCTGTATAATAAAAATAAATTTTACGAGCCATGTTTTAAGCGGTAGGTATGCAAAAATACACCTTGATAGCTATCACAAATTTTAATAGATTATTTCGATGCCGAAATTAAAATTTGGGAAATCCGATATCTTTATTATTATACTCTTCTTCTGCATATTGTTTCTTTTATTTATTTAATGTTGAAATTGATTAATTTATGGTTTGGAACATAAAGGCGTATCTGCTTCTTAAATTTTGTCAATCGCAGGTGTTGATATTGGTTTTCCAATTAAGAATTTAAAATGTTTTTCTATACTATTACTAACTTCGCTATTTAAGCACATAAACCAAATTATTCTATGCACATTTTCAGTTACGTACTTTAAATGCTGCAAAGTTTACTTATCTTAATTCTCGTATGCATTACTTGAACTGCTCGCACCACTTCGGTAGCGGTTTAATATTAATTGACCGTATGCAAAGTAAATTTGAAAAACGGTAAGTAGAGTGAGCGACAACTACGACCCTAAATGCAGGTTAACGCACCTGAACCAGTTTGTAATTAAGAATACATTTAAATTCATTAAAAAGCATTAAAACTTTCCTCGGCCGATACACATTCAATAAACGACACGCTAAGTGGTCCCACCAGTGCCTAAGTAGCCGAACCTAATTATGTTGTGGGACGCGGTACCACAGATCTCATTGCTCTGCATCTAAATACATTAATTACCTTATAGTTTACAATGCAATAAATGCTATCATAGGAAAATCTGCATATACTTTTACTATCTCATTTGCACTTGATATTATTTTAATTGTCCAAGAAATTATAAACAGGCAACATATTTAGAAAATATTGTGTAATTATTGAAAACCTTTGTTGTAATATTTAAGCATTTTTGGAAAGTTACAGTGTAAACTAGAACCACCCAATACGATAAGTTACGATTACCCACAGTAATTACCATTAATTATACAAATCCGACTACAAGTACCTCGGACAAATATTGTGGTATTTTCTCTTTAGGGTATCTACCTATACAACACTTATAAACTAATAATCCCACCATGTCTAATCAGGAATTAGATTCCACTTAAGTCGAACCATTAATTTTTATGTCGAATTTGCATTGAATTATTTAAATTAGCTCATATAAAAGTATTTCAGCATTAATTCTTGGTTTTATGTTGAAGAGAATGGCAAATGACCCGAGGCATAATTAAGTATGCTCATTTACTAAAAGATGTCAGATGTTTCGATAGAATTTTTATGAACTGTAGGCGATGATGGATTTCCTTCTGTGTTGCGATGCCCTCAAACTGTCGATGAATATGCGGCGATATGAAGCTCAGTGTCGCCTAAAGTGTCACGACTCCACTCACAAGTTCGCGCGGAGTCACCACTAGAAGAGGTCAAGGCACCATTTTGTTGATATAATGTTTCAATATGAAGTGATTGTTGTCGGGGCCACTGCGCCGCTCAGGGTTATGCACTAACTAACTATACTGCATTAAAGTTAGAGGCGATCGTTAACCGAACTTTAACGTCTCATTTTAAATTTCACGATTGAAGATAGAAACGGGAAATCGACATTTAATGCAATAGTAGGTATAGTCGCAGAGTGTGGAATTAAAACGTATTAGCCCTCGGTATCTGGCTAGGACAGTAATGATGGTGAGGTAGGAGTAAATAATAAGCGATATCGCTGGCAGGAAGTGAGAGGTTGATGGCGCAAATGAAAGACAATACGACTGTATTGGCAAATAATGCGTTTGTTTAGTTAGGCGCGTGCGGCGCGCGGAGGCGGCGCAGCATGAATGGACGCGCGTGATTCACTGCGGCCCATTCATAACCGACGCGCGCGCATCACACGCCACGAAAATCAATTCAATGCCACTTTATGCTATGCTGCATTTCGTTTGCGAATAAATGAATCTATTCTTAAATAAATGCCTCATCACGTTGTGTCGTTGAGTGTTGTCACTCGATTAATTTTATACAATAGTATTCTAGGAGACTTTGCTTGTACCTAGACTTGAATTTGTCATTAACTAAAACTTATTACCAGAACTAAAACAATCTCTATTATATGCTTTCTTATATTCTGCAGCCATTTTTGCATTATTGGGTAAATATTGAAGAGAATCACCTCGTGTGGATCAATAAATAATCAAACAATCATATACACCGACAGCTAATTTATGACTCCCTATTTAGGATTCCCAATAACTTAGCGAAGGTTCGTGCTAATAACATGATCAAATCATTACTTACATACGTATTAGGCGAGTTAAATATTATTTAGGAAATTTCGCACTAAGTGTAAACAGTCCCCAGCGAGCCTGTAAACTGGTATATGTATAAGTAGGTAGGTTGGCTCGAGTCGAAGGCAAAAGGTTATGAGATTTCAACCCATAGATTTGCTGATAGCATTTAACAGGACGGGTAATTGTTTGGTGAACGGGCTATTAATTTTGTATAATGGCTTCAAGTCCACATTAAAAGTTACCTAACGAAAATTATGGTTACGGACCTCATGTGAGACGCTATTGAAAAAGTTCAATGCTGGACACAAAGAACTCGCATGAATTATAGTTTGGACTTGCATTGGTATTGTTACCGACTATTTTATTATAATATTTGTTTTCCTGTTCCAATGTTATCTCGCTCTTGGATTTGATCTTCAGTTGTGGTGTGACTGGCTGGTATGATTAATGTGTTTTTTCCTATTTGTATAAATTGGCAACGAGTTTCTGACCTGTTGCGTACACGAAAAAAAGTAATTTGTTTATGACAATATTCAATGATTGGCAGTTGGCACATATAGTCGATAATTATTATATTATTACACAAAAATGGTTAATTTGACAGGCAATCATTAGGCGCCTTTAGATATTTTTATTATTATAAGTTCGAATCAACATCTGTTAAGTATCCACAAACACGCAACGATAGGATAATCGATTCCCGTATTTAATACTTCATTGTTCTGTAATCTCAATTCAATGAACAATTCCTGTTTTAGCACGTAATGGTAGCGACATACAAGTAAAATATATTATACAACAAACAACTAGTGACTCCATAAAAGTTCACAAGTGTGACAATAAATGGGAATTGTATCAGATATGTGACCATACACCGATATATTTACAACGTCCAATTTGCATGGAAAACAATCACACACCACACAAATGGAAAACGTTGTACAGAAATGATCCTAACAAGGGCATGTATAGCATTTAGTTAGGAATAGGTAAACAATAAATAGTTGAAAAAGGCGTTTCCAATGTATTTACAGTTTAAGTTGTCGGCAGATAAGGGCCACTAAACACTTGCAGTCGTTTGCAATGTAAACAAGATCCGATTAGAACAGTGCGTGAATTATCTTGGCTTATTTACTACCAATTGCTTGACAAAATGAAACCATACAAAGAAAATTATGGGACCTTAAAAGGATAGAAACTTAATCTAGATTACATTTGCACTTCAAAGTAGACGAACGATTCTTGAAAAAGGTTTTCATTGCCAATGTCCTGAATCCCATGCCCTCTTGAGTGCCTGAGATTCCAGTATTTCCAAATCTAAATTAGAGGAGTTTTCTGATGTAATTTTTAAATTTTGATGTTGTCTCTTCAATGGAAAGTGAACTTAAAACTACATATGTAAGCAAAAAGGACGAAAATAAAAAAGAATTCACAATTTTAGATTTCGAACAATGTTAATGACACTGATTAGCAAAACTAAGCTTCTTTATTATAACCGTTAACTTTGCCAAACTTATTTGAAGTGTAATTTAAAAACGTGCGCAACCGATGGCAGTTTACATACCGTAACCTCTGGGCTCTGATGGCCAAGTTCATATCGGTTTTCGGTCACGATCGCTATGAAGGCTAGCTACGCAATAAACATCCATAATTTACATCGCATTATTGCCCACGGCTCCACAGAGTTCCTTGTTGGCATTTTAAAATGACCAACTAGTCTAAATTGGTTTAACGTATATCTTACATCTGGTGTACAGTGTAAGGAGCCGTAAAGAACTCGCTCCTCCAAGAGATGATATCGGCTAACTAGCTGTCGCTGTGTC